TACGCAACTGTTTATCGCAACGATGATTATAACTGAACAAAGACGAAAAAATTGCAAAGAAATCATCGTAACGACACGCCCGAGTTGCTTTCCTACGCGTAATAGCAATAATTAAATAATAATCGAATAAATTAAATAATAACCGAATAAAGAATTAATAATACTCGAATATTAAATGGTAGTGATAATAATATCTGCTCGACAATCACATGATAATATCCGCGAGTGGATAATAAAGAAATAATAATGATCGAATAATCGGTAATAACAATACTTCGGTAACGGCTCTAATAAAAATTCTAGGCTCAACAAAGGCTAGATACATGAACCGTCGTAACGGCTCGCTCGGGCGAGACTCAGCGGCGTGTCGAGGCGTGCGCAGCCGAGTCATGTAAACACACATGCGTGAGCACGTGCTCGAGCGTCACACCATAGCACTATCAACCGTCGAGGCGAACGCATTGGAAGTTGCCGCGTTATTTTCTAGATTATTCCGCGCCAATTTTTAATACCGCGTTTCGATTTCGCGACAATTGAGGCGATAATTAAGACGCGTACTCCTCACGAGAGCAGGTGTTGCGGCTTTACTGCGACAGGTAATTACCGCGTTTGAATTACTTTTTTAATTGTAAGATAGAGAAACGTCGCGATCGAGTTCCTCAATGCCGATCAAATATTATCATCATCCATTTAATATTCGAGTATTATTACTTCTTTATTCAATTATTATTTAATTTATTCGGTTATTATTTAATTATTACGCATAGGAAAGCTCGGGTGTGCCGTTATGACAATTTCTTTACCTCCTCTTTAATCAGTTATTATTGCCGTTGCCCAGTTATTGTTCATTGTTATTACCGATTATTCGTTCATCGTTATTCCGTTATTATCCACTTGCGGATATTATCACACAATTGTCAAGCAGATGTTATTATCACTACTATAGAATATTCGAATATTATTATTTCTTTATTCGATTATTATTTAATTTATTCGGTTATTATTTAATTACTACTATTATGCATAGGAAAGCAACTCGGGCGTGCCGTTACGACAATTTCTTTACCTCGTCTTTAATCAGTTATTATTGCTGTTGCCCAGTTATTATTATTCATTGTTATTACCGATTATTCGATCATCGTTATTCAGTTATCCGCTCGCGGCTATTATCATATGATTATTGATCAGGTATTATTATCAATACCATTAATTATATGAATATAATTACTTTTTCATAATAATTTTAATAATATCTGCTTAACAATTGTGTGATAATATCCGCGAGTGGATAATAACGGAATAACGATGAACAAATAATCGGTAATAACAATGAATAACAATAACTGGGTAACAATAATAATAACTGAACAAAGACGAGGTAAAGAAATTGTAACGGCACGCCCGAGTTTTCTATTTAATTTATATTAAATGGTAGTGATAATAATTTATTCGACAATTGTGTGATAATATCCGCGAGTGGATAATAACGAAATAATGATGATCGAATAATCGGAAATAACAATACCTGGGCTCTAACAAAAACTCTAGGCTCCACAAGGGCTAAGTAAACGGATCCTCGTAACGACCCGCTCGTGCCGTTGACTGAGCGGCACTTGGGGGGGGGGGGGGGGGGG